TTCAAAAAGACACCTGCACCCCAATGTTCATAGCAGCACTATTTACAATAACCAAGACATGGAAACAGCCTAAATGTCCATTGACAGATGACTGGATAAAGAAGATGTGGTATATTCATACAATGGAATACTATTTAGCCATAAAAGTGACAACATAATGCCAGCTGCAGAAACATGGATGGACTTGGAGATCGTCATTCTAAGTGAAGTAAGCCAGAAAGAGAAAGAAAAATATTGTATGATATCATTCATATGTGGAATCTAAAAAAATGATCCAAATGAACTTATTTACAAAACAGAAAGAGACTCATAGACATAGGAAACAAAGTTACCAGGAGGAAAAGGTGGTAGTGGGGAGAGATAAATCGAGAGTTTGGGATTTGTAGATATAAATTGCTATATATAAAATAAATAACAAGGACCTAATGTATAGCAAAATAGCTTGTAATAACCTATAGTGAAAAAGAATATAAAAAAGAAAATGTATGTGTATCACTGAATCTCTGTGCTGTACACTAAAAACTAACACAACATTGTAAATCAACTATGCTTCAATTAAAAAAATAATTTAAGAACTTAGTGATTTGCTAGTGGTAAATCCAAAGTCTTCTATGTCACACACAGATAAAGACCTTCATAACAACTTAGTATGCTCCGGAGCTACGATCATAGCATAAATAATATACTATAAATACTCTCCTCATTCTTTCAAACTTCCACTGTAATACAGGTAGAGCCATGCTGCGTCGGGTGGGGTGGATGCTTCCCAGAGCAGCCGCTACCTACGTTCTCTTCATCTCTTTAGATCACCACCCTCATTTATTAAGAGACAAATTATCAAGAATATCACCAACATAATTAATTCCTCTAGAAATTTTTCATCTGCCTAAGAAAGACAAATTCAAGTAGAAGTGGAGAGAAAGACATGTAGACTTCTGGTTGAAATGAGAGATGATGGAAAGTGGTCAAAGTGTCTTGTTTATATCTGAGATTTCCTCAAGAGCGAGTCTCTGAGTTTAGGTTTCTTTGATTCAAGAACAGAGAGAACAGGCAGCCTACGGTCATGGTTTTCACAGGACTGGGAGTAAATTGGGGGACCTACAAGCCATATCATTTATCCAGAGCAAGCCAGAAAGGATCACAATGGGAAGAAAACAGTGTATAACTGAGAATTGAATTTAAAAATGTAACTTTTTTCTTCATATTAATTCTAGATGATGAAATCATTCATTTATTAGAGGAAAAAATTAATTTGTGCTAAAAGCTAAAACAAGCAAGTGTGGAAATGAACAAAAACCATGTGACTGAGGACAAGCAAAAGCTCTCTATCCAGAACTTGCTGTAACAAGGGATCAGCCACCATCACCGTGACTGGCAGAGACTCGAGGGCAGGCGGAGGAGCCGGCAGGCTTCTTGGTGAAGAAAGGGGCAGCCTCAGGTGTGCCCTGAAGGAGGCGCGGGCACGGGGAATCTCCGGGCAGCTAACCAGATTCAGGGCACCCATGTGATCAGTTAGTGGGTGCATATTTTGTTTTCTCTGATGGGTCCTGAATTGGAAGCGGGGACAAAAATCAGAGATGCTGTCCACTGTTAATCAAGTTCTGGCAATTTCAATTCGATTGCTCCAGGCTGTTGTTTGGCCTCCTGGATGAATGGCCGCAGACTTCTGTCTTTACACCCAGTCTGGTCATTATCAGTCTGTTCCATCTCTCACAAGCTAGTCATTTGTCAGAAGAAGCTTTAACTACTCTATGCAAAGAAACCAAACCAGCTTTGGTTGGGGAGATACCTCAGTGTGATGGAGAAACAGTCCCAGAGATGCTAAGACGTGAGGTCATGTCTGGGGCCGTGGTCTCAGAGCAGAGCGCCGGCATGGAGACCACCCTCTTCTAGACTCTCCTAGACTAGGTCTCTGAGATGGCAGTGATGCCACCAGACTCAACTGGCGAATCAGAGAAAAACAGCTCCACCCATGTAAGGGGGGAAGCCTGGTGGGGATTCTCATTCTGTAAAAGTCCCTGTTTTCCCTTCAAATATATTTCTGCTCCATTCTCTCAACTGTCTCTCGGGTGGAATCCTTTCATAACAAGCTGGAGTTTTTCATTCTTTCCTCCATTTCTTTTCACTTTTGTCCACATTTCCCATCTCTTTGCTTCTCTGTGTTGAGGTCTACGTTATGTTCTCAGATGTGTTTCTCCTCTGCTGTGTTCATTCTGCCGTTTAATTTGCATTTTATTTTAATGGCTGAATTTCTGCTTGGTGCCTTTTTTAATCTCCTTGCTTTTTTAAAACGTAATTTTGTATTCTTGCATCATACATTGAAATACTTCCTTTACATATTCAAACTTTTAAAACAGACTAATTTAAAAAATACTTTTCAGATTTCCCTATTTTTGTGTTTCTGGGAGTGAATTTTCTCCCGCCCTTAGCTTTACTTGGGAAGCTCAGTTTCAGCTGCTCATCACCTCCAGGGCTGGAATCCACGGCTTCTGTTCTTCCTCAGCATTAAACCCCAGCGCCCAGGGGTCACGGCACCCCGTGGGCTCAACTCATGCTGAAAGTCAAGAACCACCTCTGATTTCGAGTCCCTTCTGTAACTCGAGCCTCTAGGGAGATCCTTTTCTTGCATTTAAGCTTGGTTTTCTATCCAATGATTCTATCCAGCATTTCCCTGGGCGAGGAGCATCGCAGGGAACATCTGCTAAGTCTGCCACACTTACCAGTGTCAACTAATATTTACGATATGCCTGCTGTCCACCTGCTGTGGCTGGGTGCTGGGATGAGACACGAACGAGGCACAGGCTTCTTCTTCAGGGAACTTAAGAGTCCAGAAGCCAGACAGACAAATGAAACACTTATAATAAAATATAAGAAGTTCATTGCTACATGGGGTTCTACGTAAGCCTGGTGGGTGGCGGGCGTCTGACTCAGGCCTTCGGGGAAGAGTGGGAGTCAGAAAAAAAAAAGCATATTCTTCTAAACAAAGACTCTACTGGAAAAGATGAATGCAAAAGAGTGGTTTGTAGGGAAAAGGGTTTTAGCTTTACTTTATTTTAAAAAATCTCTGTGTGGGCCCGACAACCACTACTACACACAGAAGTCCCAGCCTCCCTGGTTCCCACGGTCCTGGACTTTTGCAAGTTTCATGCTTCTTTCAACATCAAAGATATTATTTGATGAATCATCGATTCAACAAACATCATCCAAACAGCTATTAAGGTAGCTTCTCAAAAGACTGATTTTACTGCTGGGACATAGATTATTCCCTGAAAGACTTGGAACCACTGCCAACTGCCGCTGAAAGTGTTTATAAGGAGGTTTTTCCAATGACTTAGGAGGTTTTATTCTATTGTTAAAAAAATATTTAAAAAAGTGCTACTTATCTATATATTTTTGGTAATATATGAACATTATTACTTTTTTGAAGATAAATAATCTGAGACAGACAATGTAAAAATAAGGGATCTGGAATGGAAGAAATATATCAAACTGTCCATAGACCCACAGGATGTTTGAGTTGGATATTACCTTGTTGGAAATCCGGTCCAATCTAGGTGAGCCCAGGTTTCGCACCTAGCAGCCTCCCTGGTCTCTACTCACTAGGTGTCAGTAACACCCCTCCCACCGCAAGTCATGACCAAATGTCCCCGATGTTGCTAAATGTCCCCGGGCTGAGAACTACTGGTCCACGTCCTTTCCTTTAGCGATGAGAAGTGGAAGCCCAGAGGGTAAGTGACGTTATGCGACACAGCTAGTTAGAGGCAGACCCTGGAAGAGCATCGCTGGGCTTCTGTGGCCTCTTCTCGGGCTCAGAAGCTGCAAACCCCCAGGCTAGTTATTAGTTAACTGCTCAGTCCTATTTGCGACAGAGGCCTGGGCTCAGACCCTCAAAATAACGGAGCTTCTGTTGACCATCTCAGGCTTGGCAAGCTTGTACTATTTGAGTTGTCTCCAGTGTACTTAAGCACCAAAGATTTTTTGTGAAATTTCAATGATACTCATTGAGTTGATACTAAGTAACCAAAATGTTCCTTCCAAGCTCACATTTTCTTTTTGAGAAAGTATCTGTTTCTCCCTCCATCTCCTTCACTTGGGAAAAAACAAACGCCTTGAGCCAGGCCCAGAGAACTGTGTGCTGATCATTTTCCACGATGCTGGCGACTGGGTGACGGTACGCTTGCCAAACAGTAAATAAAGCCGCACACAGCTTTTGTTCATTTGATAATTGGGGGTGATATATGCAGAGGTAAAGTTCACTTCATGAAAACATCTGGTTTTATCTGGGATCTTTTCTTCTGGTGGGTATATTTAGACACCTGGGGTTAAAAAAAACACACCCAGATATTTCACATTTGAAAGCTTGTGGTCCTGTTATTCGCCTCTTATTCACCATGTTGGCAAATCAGTAAGGGAGACAGCAGAGGGTGAGTGAAACCAGGCCCCAGAACGTTCTTCCCTGGGGGCTGTACCACTGTGAACCAGCCCTCCCTGGCTGGTAGGGGCTCACTCACTCTCAGGTTGATCGGGGTCACTTGGCAGGCCTGGCTTGGATTCTGACACTGCAGAGCTGTGTGGTCACTGAAATCTAGCAGCTTGTGGTTGAAAAAGACCACCTGAGCCAGCAAATGGCCAGTGACCTTCAACCTCAACTCCAATTTATGTCAGTGTGCCAGTGACGAAATTCACGAGTCTCCCTCGGCATTGCTGAGTGTCTGATGGGGCAAATCCTCTCTGCCAGCCGGTGCCAGCGGCCACAGCAGGTGCGGCTTCTCGCTTGTTGTTGAGACGACCCAGAGCTCTGGGAGATAGCTCAGGAATGCTGCTGACGCCATCCGGGGGCTCAGCACCCTCACCTGCTTACGCTACCGCTCTGCCAGCCGGTGAGAGGACTGTGTGTCCGTATTGTGAGATGTCCTCATTGCACCAGATGACGAATTTTGAGCTGGCTTTGTGCAGAACCCAGAAATATCCAGAGTCAAATTGAAGACTGGGGGTGGAAAAAAATCGGGTCAGTCCTGCACAGTCAGGATGCCTGGAGGCCCCACGGACCACCGATCTCTTTCCCCCGAGTTACTACATCTTCTGCATTGTGAACTGAATCATGTTGTGATTAAGTCCAGGTAGGCAAGGACTGTCTCCTGGTCCCTTTTCTTGCGCAGCACGGTGTCAGATGTGGCGATGTGGGAGAGCGGAAAGAGCACTGACCAAGGTGAGTCTAAAGATCTGGATTTGATTCGGGATTTGCAGATACTAACTACCAACTATAAAATAAACAATAAGGTCCTACTGTACAGCACAGGGAACTATATTCAATGGCTTGTAATAAGCTGTGATGAAAAGGAAAAGGAAAAGGATTATATACATATGTATAACTGAATCACTGTGCTGTACACTGGAAATGAACACATTGTAAATCAACTATACTTTAATTAAAAAAATAAAGGTCTGGATTCCATTCATGCTCTGAAGTTTAGGGAATTTTGGGTTGGAGAGGAGCAAAGCTCATCATCTCTTACTAATCCTTGTCAGGCAGGGAGTTTGCTCCCGGACCCTTTTCCTCCCATCCCCTGAAGAGAGGCTGAGCACCAGCAGCCCTGGAGCACCTGGCCAAGCACCCTGCCTCTTGGGAGTCAAGTCCTTGCATCTTCCCCCCGGAAGATGGTGCCCTTACCTCCACGCTCCCTCTCTGAGCTGCTCGTGTCAGGACCCAGAGATGCTCCAGCTAGTTTTTCTCTGCATCTCTGCTGAACAATTTTACGTGAGCAACAGAAGCCATGAGTGAATGAATATTAAATTATACAACGCAAAGTTTCTCAAAGTATACTCCCTAAAAGCTCTGTTTTTGCCCAAACTGGATCCATCTTAGCTGCAGCTGAAACCAGACTCTCTCTCACCCACTTCTCTGTGAATGACCAGAAGAGAGCTTCTCATTTTCAACCTTTTTCCCTAGCGATTTTTTTTCTTAGACTTCTTTGGCTGCTACCAATGTCCAATCAGACAATGAATCAAGTAGTAAATGAAGTCATTTTATTTTTAAGCTTGACAGCCTTTTAAAAACGGGCTTAGATTTTCCACTTCCTGAAAGGAATTTCGAAGCAAGCTTGCAAGCTAAGACCGCTGAGCCCTGGGTTAATGGCAAGGCCGTGCTAGTCACTGCTCACCTCCGCAGGGCTGTCCAGACTCTTCTGCCTGAAGGCACATCTTCCCACTCCAATGCACAACGCAGATACACAGTCCATGTTTCAGTTTTCCTTTTTAGCGTTCATTCTTTAAAGCATATTTTACATAGTTATTGTGTTTCCTTTTAATCTCTCACATTATAGTGTATGTTCCCGAGGACAGGGGTTTGGGTCCCTGGTCCCTGCTGTGCGTTCTTTGCCTAGTGGAGGGCCCAGCCCTTGGGAGGCCCTTATGACTGTTTAAATGATGTCATGATTGAATCTTCTCCAGGGCAGTGCCCAACATTCTGAATTTTGGTGTAAAAACTGGCTGACTTTGAAACGACTGTCCCTAACACAGAGACATAATTCAGCTCTTAGCTTGGGCCACATGCCTCATTCTGCAAAAGGCCTACAACCATTGAGGCTGGTTCTCAGATTTTTTTTTTTAAACAGTGTTTTGAGGTATAATTGATGTACACTAAGCTGCACATATATTGAGTGTAAAATCTGATAAGTTTTGACATGTTTACCCATGTGAAATTGTTACCATAGTCAAGGTAATGAATATATCCAACATCTCCCCAAACTTCCTCACGCCCTTTGTAATTGTCTCTCTTGGCCTCTGCCCTTCCCCTCCACCCTACGACCACTGATCTGCTGTCATACAGATTAGTCTAGATTTTCGAGAATTTTATGTAAATGGAATCCTCCATGATGTACATTTCCCCCCCGCTTCATTCACTTGGCATGATTATTTTGAGAACTTTTCCATGTTGTGCATATCAGCGGTTTGCTCCTTTTTATTGCTGAGAAGTACTGTACATTTATCCACTCACATTGATGGACGCTGGGTTATTTCCAGATTGGAGCTATTACTAACAAAGCTGCTCTGAACATGTGTGGACTAGTCTTTGTGTGGACAAGTGCTTTGATTTCTTTTGGGTGAACACCTAGGAGGGGAATGGCTGGATCATCTGGCAGGTATACATTTAACTTTTTAAGAAATTGCCAAGCTGTTTTTCAAAGCAGCTTTATATTATTTTACTTTCCCACCAACAATGGTTGAGAATCCCAGTTCCTCCACATCCTCTTCAACACTTGATATGGTGAGTCTTTTTAATTTTAGTCCTTCAAGTAGCTTTGTAGTAGTATCTTATTGTACCTTGTTTTACTTTTTTTATTGAAGTGTAGTTGATTTACAATGTTAGTTTCAGGTGTACAGCAAAGTGATTCAGTTATACATATACATACGTATGTATATTTTCTTTTCCGATTCTTTTCCATTACATGTTATTACAAGAAATTGAATATAGTTCCCTGTGTTATACAGTAGGTCCGTGTTGTTTATCTATTTTATATACAGTAATGTGTATCTGTTAATCCCCAACCCCTAATTTATCTCTTCCCACCCTTTCCCCTTTGGTACTCATAGTTTGTTTTCTATGTCTGTGAGTCTAGTTTTGATTTACAAACAGAATTTATATCATTTTGTAAAAAGATTCCACATATAAATGATATCATATGATATTAGTCTTTCTCTGTCTGACTTACTTTACTCAATACAATAATCTCTAGGTCCATCTATGTTGCTGCAAATGGCATTATTTTATTCTTTTTTGTGGTTGAGTAATATTCCATTGTGTATGTATATGTATATGTGTGTGTGCATGTGTACATCTTCTTTATCCAGTCATCTGTTGATGGACATTTAGGTTGTTTCCATGTCTTGGCTATTGTAAACAGTGCTGCTATGAACATTGGGGTGAATGTTTTTTTTTGAATTACAGTTTTCTCTGGATATATGCCCAGGAGTGGGATTGCTGGATCATATGGTAAGTCTGTTTTCATTGTGCTTTAAATATGCATTTCTCTAATGATTAACAGCTTTTTGTGGTATAATTGACAGACAATAAACTGTACACAGTTAAAATGAACAATTTAATCCTGTACATCTTTTTATTTGCTAATTTGCCATCTATCTCTCTTCTTTTGTGAAGGGTCTGTTCAAGTATTTTGCCCATCTTTTATCATTTGTTTTCTTATTGTTCGGTTTTGATCGTTCCTTGTTTATTCTGGATACAAGTTCTTTATCAGCAATGGTTTGCAAATCCTTTCTCCCTGTCTATCTTCTCATTCCCTTAATACTATCTTTTAAAGAGCAGCAATTCTTATTTTCAATAAAATCCAATTTATGTTGTTCTTTTAGAGATGGTGATTTTGATGTCATAGTCAAGAAATATTTGCCCAACCCAAGATCACCAAGATTTTCTCTTATGATTTCTTCTATAACTTATAATTATACATTTTTGTCACATATATGCTGTATGGTTATATATGTATAGAGAGAGAATCTATGATTCCTTTTGAGCTAGTTTTTTAAATGTGTTTTAAAAATTTTTTACTACCTTTTCTTGGGGGGGTGATTAGTTTTATTTATTTATTTACTTAATGGAGGTACTAGAGATTGAACCGAGGGCCACATGCATGCTAAGCATGCACTCTGCCACTGAGCCATACACTCCCTGGCTTGAGCTAGTTTTTATATGCAGTGTGAGGTATGTATCAAAGTCAATTTCTTGGCAAATGGACATATATTACTGTTCCAACATCATTTGTTGAAAAGTTTATGCTTTCTCCACTGAAATGCCTTTACATCTTCATCAGAATCTGTTGTCCGTAAATCTGTGGGTCTATTTCTGGACTGTGGACTCTTCCATTGGTCTGCTTGGCTATCTCTATGCCAATACCACATTGCCTTGATTAGCTTTATAATAAGTCTTAAAATCGAGTGGAATTAGTTCTCCAATTTTGTTTTCCAAGTTCTTTCTTATTCTCGTCCTTTGCATTTCTGTACGAATATTAGAACTTACCTGTGAAATTTTACAGAAAAGCCATCTGGAATTTTGATAGATATTGTGTTGAATCTATAGATCAATTACCACAAGTTAAAATTTTAGCAGTATTGAGTGTTCCAATGCATGAAAATGGCTTAAACCTCTTAGGTCTCTTTAAATTTTTCTCATTAATCTTTTCTAAGTTTTCAATATAGACGCTTTGCGTACCTTTCATTGAATTTTTCTATAAGTATTTCTTTTTTTTGGTGCTATTTTAAATGATATTTAATTTCAATTGTTGCTAGTATATAAATATATTTTGCATATTTATTCTGTATCTTGTGATATTGATAAAATCACTTATTAGTTTTAGCAGCTTTTTTGTGTGTGTGGATTCTATCAGATATTCTACATAGATAATCAATTCATCTGCAAATAAAAGCAGTTTGCTTTTCCCTTTCCAGCCTGGATGGCTTCTGTTTCTTTTTCTTGCTTGTCTGAGCTGCACAGAACCTCCAGTACAATTCTGAATAGAAGTGGGGAGAGGAGACATCTTGTTTTGCTACTAATCTTAGGGGTAAAGCACTGAATACATCACAATTAATTATGTTAACTGTAGGTTATTCAAGGTCCTCATTATCATATTAAGAAAGTTCCCTTCTATTACAAGTTTGCTAAGAAAGTTTTTTCTTTTAAATCACAAATGGATGTTGAATTTTGTTAAGCAATTTTCTACCTCTACTGAGATAATCATAGGTTCTTCAATTTTATTTTGTTAACAAGGTAAATGACACCGATTGAGTTTTGAATATTAAGCCAACCAAGAATTCCTTAAATGACTCCCGCTTGGTCATGATGTATTATCTTTTTGCTAGATGGTTGAATTTTGTTTATTAAAATTTTGTTTAGAATTTTTGAATCTATATTCACATGGCATATTGACCTATTGTTTTCTTTCCTTGTGATATTGTTGTATGTTTTGGTATTAGGGTAGTACCGGTCTTACGGGATAGATTGAGAAGCACGCCTTTCTTTTTAGATTTCTGGAAAAATTTGGGTAGAATTATCATTTATTTATTAAATATTTGGTTTCTTAAATCTTTTTTGTTTGTTTTAAAGTTTTAAAAGTTAAAAAGGTTTTTTTTTCGTTTTAAAAGTTAAGAAGTTAAAAACATTATTTTTCCTAAAAAATCCATTATCTTTTACACAGATTTAAATAAGAAGAAGACAATTTTACACATTTACCAATGCAATATTATTCTTGGTACTTTTTATTCCTTTGTGTAGATCACTGGTTCTCTGCTGGGTGTGATCTTGCCCCTCGGGGGCATTGGGCAATGTCTGGACACAATGTTTTGGTTATGACAACTGAGGGAGGGCACTATTAAACATCTAGAGGATAGAGGCCAGGGATGCTGACAAATGTCCTGCAGTGCACAGGACAGCTCCCCCACAACCAAGAATTATCCAGCTCCAATTGTCAATGGTCTCCAGCTTGGGAAAACACCGGTGTGAATCTATGTTTCCATTTGGTTTCACTTTCCTTTTGCCTGATGAGTTTCCATTAAACTTTCTTGTAATGTGGCTCTGAAGGTGGTAAATTTTTTCAACGCTTTTAGAGTTTAGAATTTTCATTTTGTCTTCATTTGTGAAAGATTTTTTTTGGGGGGGGAATAGAATTTTAGCTTGAGCTTTTCCTCCTTCTATCAGTAGTCCAGGCACACGCTGTTCCATTGCACTGAGCTTTACTGCACTTTGCGGATATAGAATTTTTTTCACAAATTGAAAGTTTGTGGCAATTCTATGTCAAGCAAGTCTATTGGTGTCATTTTTCCAACAGCATTTCCTGTCTTCATGTCTCTGTGTCATATTTGGATAATTCTCATGATACATTAAACCTTCTTTGTTATTATTGTATTGGTTATAGGGATCTGTGGTCAATGATCTTTGATGTTACTATTGCAAAAAGATTACAACTCACTGGAGGCTTAGATGAAGGTTAGTCTGTTTTAGCAATAAAGTATTTTTAAATTAATGTATGTATATTGTTTCTTTAGATTATTGCTGTTACACACTTAATAGATTACAGTGTAATATAAACATAACATTTATATGCCCTGGGAAACCAAAAAACCTGTGTAACTTGCATTATTGTGATATTTGCTGTATTGTAGTGGTCTGGAACCGAATCAGCAATATCTCCAAGATATGCCTGTATTTTGAAGATGTTACTCCACTATCTTCTTGCCTGCACTGTTCCCCAAAGAAATCTGCTGTCATTCTTAGCTTTGTTCCTCCATAGTTATTGCGTCTTTTTTCTTTGGCTGCTTTTCTGATTTCTTCTTTTTCACTGGCTTATGAAAGTTGATTATGAATTAACTCGGTATGATCTTTTTTGCTTTTCTTCTTTTGTTATAATTTTATTTATAACTATATCTGTGTTATTTAGTTATAAAGGAATTTTTGATGTTTTTGGTGCTCAGGGTTAGCTAAGCATCTTGGATCTGTTATTTTATACTCCACCAACTTTGGAAAAATTTCACTCATTATTTCTTTAAAATAGTCTTTCTGGTGTCCCCCTTCCTACTCTTCTTTAGGGACTCCAAATATACAAATATCAGATTATTTGAAGTTGTTCAATAGTTAGCTGATGATTTTATCATCTTTTTAATTTTTTTTTGTTTGTTTGTATTTTAATTTAGATAGTTTTTATTGCTATGTTTTCAAAGTCATTACCTTTTATTCTGCAACATCTAATCTGTTAATCACATCCTGTATGTTTTTATCTAATACTTTGTAGTCTTCATTTTGAGATTTTGATTTGGGTCTATTTAAGTTCTTGAACACCTAGAATACACTTATACAGTTGTAGTAACTGTTTCACATCCTTGTTTGCTAATCCTAATATTTGATCCGTCCTGGGCTGGTCTTGATTGGTTGATTTTTCTCCGCATAGATATTTCCATTTCTTTGCGTGCTTGGTGAATTTTAGTTTGTTTGGTGCTGAATATTTTTCTATATCTAAAATATTCATAAGCTTTGTTTGGGATGCAGTTAGATCACTTGGAAAATGTTTGATCCTTTTGGATCTTGCTTTTAAGAGTTTAGTCGGAACAGGACAGGAATAGCCTCAGGCTGATAACTATTCCACATTACTGACAAAATATGACTTCGAGTGCCTTACCCAACGACCCATTAGTTATGATGCTTTCCTGTCTTGCTTTGGGGACAGGCACTTTTTCTGGCCCTGCATGAGTGGTAGGCACTCCTCCCACTGATCCTCTCAGACAGCTCTTTCCCTGATCTGTGCCTATCAGTGCTCTGCTGAATTCTTGAGGGGACCCTCCACAGATCTCAGGAGTTCTCCCTCCATGTGATTCTTCTCTGGTACTCTGTTCTGCAAACTCTAGGCATCTTGTTCTCACACACTCTCAGCTCTGTTTATTCAACAGAGCTCTGTTTACTAAGAAAGTCCACTGGTTACCATCTGGACTCCTGTCCCTACACCATGACCTGGAAATTCTTCCCTGGCAGTGAGTTGGGGTCATCAGAGGGTTCATCTCTTCTGTCTCCCATCCCTTAGGATTACTGTTCTTCACTGCCTGATGTCCAGTGCCTTGAAAATGGCTGTTTGGTGTGTTTCATTTGGTTTCTGTGATTGTTTCAGGAAGGAGGGTAAATCTGGTCTCTGTTACTCCATCTTGATCAGAAGCAGAAGTTACAAATTAACTAGATTTTATTTCCTTCTAAGAAGCATGTATGCATGTGGCTATGCGTTTAGATTACACACATTTATTAGATATTTGCTGTAAGTAAAATTGATCCTAGTTTCATATTGGACCTGAACAGATGGATAATTCATGGATTTTGTTTGCTATGTAAGTCACACCTGCCAGGTGCTGATGAAGTCAGAGCAGCCTGCCCTAGTGCACTCACCTGCCTGTCACTGAGGTGCATTCAGGGACCTCTTGTCCCATCAAGGGAGTCTTGTCCCCTTCTCAGTGAAGTCCTTTGCTCCCATCAAGTATCCACTTAGCAATTCGGTTGAGTTCACGCCTTCAAATCCCAGTTTTTGTCTTCCTGAGAATTTTAAGAACTAACTTCTCTTAAAAGGACCTTATCACGTTTCCAGGGTTAAAATCAAAACCTAAAGTAACACACTTCTAAAAAGACACTCACCATGATGAGGTTCTCAGGCATGGAAACAGTTAGACATTTCACATAGCTGTTCAGAAAGGAAGTGGCGACATTTCCACACGTGGTGTTCCCACGTCTCTGATGCATGGGTACTGAGGTCTTGAAAGCAAAAATAAGAGCAGGGCAGTCCACACCGGCACAGAAACAGTCTGTTCTCTCTCGGAATGGAGAGCCAAGGCGAAGCCAGGTCATCTTAGAAAGCTGGAAATTTGTGCCAACAATTTTTTCCTGGCTGATTTTTGACCTTTTTACTTCAGGGAGTATTAACCTACAAAGGTGTTCAAAATTTAAATAGATTTGTTTTCTTTTGCTTCTTCCATTGCTTGTATGCCTTGACTTCCGTTACCAAGAGGGTGTAAGCTTTTAACATATATTATTTTTATGAGGGTATCATCTGTGTATTATTATTTAACTTGTATTTAATTTATTAGGAATGTGAGATAAGAAACCAATAGCATATTTTCCAAAATGTCAAGAAATTTTGCCTGTACCATTACTTTAAATAATATTCATCACCACTGTTGCGATGACGCTTTTATAAAATGTACACTATATGTACTAAGTTCTGTTCACGGGTCATTAGAGCTTTTCTGTTTCGTCTTCTTTTTATACTTCCGTAATCCTAGTCTAATTCATTAAAGGGTCTTCTCTGGATGAGACCTACATTATTCCCACTCACTGACTCTTTTTTTTAGTATTTTTTTTATTGAGTTATAGTCATTTTACAATGTTGTGTCAAATTCCTCTCACTGACTCGGATTCATTCAATCTATCTTCCAGATAAACTTTATGTTAACTTTTTCAAGTTCAAAAAAAAACCCCACCATTAAAATTTTCTTTTGGATTAAATAGAACATCTCAATTCTTTGGAGGAAGACTCGCCATTTTTACAGCACTTCAGTCTTCTCAATTTTACCACCCGGATATATTTTCTCCTCTCCATTTATGCAATCAGTATGTCACTCAGTAAATATATAGATATTTACTAAGACAGACGTATATTCCCTATGAATTTTTAATTAGATTTTCCCCAAGCTATTTGCTTGTGTTGTTACTGATATTGTGGCTGGGGGCACCGGGCTTTATAACTGATTTTTGCTGGATGATGGAAAAGATATTGATTGTCTCCACATTGTTCATCGGTCTCCTTTAAATGTTTCCCGTAGTTTTTGGTTGGTTTTGTATGGTGTTTCCTTTAATCAATAACTCACATGAAGCTCTTAATCATAGTCTTGATTATGGTTCTGTTTAATGAATATCAGGAAACTCTGTGAAACACTGAGTTGGAAGGGGAAGAATATTAACCCTGAACTTCTAAGACATCCTCACTATGTGATGTATTTTGCTATAAAATTCTAGAATTCCTTAGAGGCGAGTAGAACTCTAGGTGTAGGAAATCTAATTCTTTCCTTTACAGAGAATGAAATGGACTCTGACACGTAGCTGTCAAAGTGCTAGATGCTGGGGAGAAGAAAACGTTAGGGTCCACATTCTAATAAGCAGTCATCAAAATTCCAGTATATTCTGGTAGTGCTACACTTTCATTGCCTGTAATTTTCCCCATAAGTGATCTCAGCATAGCCCCTTTTTGTCTCAAAACAGTGCATTTTATATCAGACCAGAGGCAGAAATGAAGGTTTCACCTGCTCCCCAAGACTTTTTTTCTAAGCTGGTTCCTAAGCACACAGCAAGTGGTGGGACATGCTGTTGCACTGGCTGCGTCTCAGGAAGTGGAATGGCCAATACAAACAACCTGTGAACCTCCGAATGAAACTCACTGTTCCAGGGTCACATGTGCTGGAGCGACACAGCGGTGCCTGGAACTCAGGGCAGCACACATCATTTATTTGCCTTGGAAGATGGGCTGTTATCCAAATCCCCTGGAGGGAGCCAGCCTTGCAAAGTGGCTGATGCAACCCTGAGATTAGAGACAGAAAATGCAGAATTTTCTCATCGTTTGCCACCAGCCTGGAGTACTCTTGCCTCTCCTCCTGCCATCTTTGCTCCCACGGTGGCTGGAAAGCCCTTTGAGAGTAATTCCTTGGAGGGAGAAATGATCTTGACCCCAAGGTCAGGTGTGGCCACATTCTCCAGATGGCTGAAGACAACTCATTTTCACAGCATCACCTCCAAAGTTCACATAAAAAGGGATGGGGACCAAATCTCCAGTTACATAGAAAGCATTCATGAACGTACTGAACAAGTACAGAGGGAGTTTTTTTGGGTTCCCAAGACTTTGAGTTATGAAGGATGCAGAAGACCTGGTCTCAGCATTGAGGAGAGCATTGCCTAAGCGTGGGCAGCCAGCAGGGACAGGCACCCAAGTTCAATTACAGTCTTTGTTATTTCCACCCGCGAGCGTCAGGCCCTGCGCGGGCTATGAAGCATGTACAGTAGTTTGCAGGCAGTGTATTGTCCTGAGCACAGTGGCCCTTGTATTTATCATGAAGTTATAAAAATAATGAGATGTATCACAACACCGAGGCTGGACTCTCCTATCACTCATGTGATCTGGAACACTCATGGCGTGAATAAACCACAGGCAAGCACGAGAAGGTGTCCTGACAGGTTATGGAAGGAGAATGGCCCAGCAGGATGTGCAGGAAGAGGTGGTTTCTGGAGTAGCTGAAAGCGGGCACAGCCAGCAGGATCCCTGAGACGTAGACTCTAACCAGGAGTCTTTCTGCTTTCCTTTGTGGGTAGCAGCCCAAGACGGGGGTTGGTGTCCTGGTGATGGATTTATTACCATTAGCATCAGACTAACAGATCCCC